TTTTTTAAATTTATATATTCATTGGTACATTTTAGGTATACAATACATTTACATTTATCATTGGGTGTTTATACCTGAACATGATGTATCTTAGTTCTTATTTCTCCCCCATTACCTATCTGCCCTTCATACCCACCACTCTTCCCTATTTACACAGACTTTGTTTCCTTTTTTTTTCCTTTCTCATAATTTTTCCTTTCCCTTCTTCCCTTTCCCCTTCCCCTTCTGCCACCCTTACCCATTTGGACCTTTTCCTATTTCAAATTATCAGTTATTTGTTTTAATTATTTTCATCCTTATTTACACTTTCAGTTTCTCACACTAGAGATACTATTCAGAAAGAGCCCAAGTTCCCATCAATTGGAAATTGGATTAAGAAGATGTGGGTTTTTTTTAAATAAAATGGAGTACTACTCAGCCATAAAGAATGAGAAACTAGAGTCATTTATAGCTAAATGGATGCATATTGAGGCCATACTCTTAAGTGAAATAAATAGGACACACATGTTTTTACTATTTATCTCCACATTATTTATTTAAATCTAGTTTGTAATGGACTTGATTGTTTTTAATTGCAACTACTTCTGCCAAGTTGCTAATGCACTCTGACTATTTGCTCATTCTTCATGTATGAATTTAGCCATAACTTTAACCATTATTTCATATTCACTTTGCACAACTGAATGGGATCCCTTTTTCTAGGAGAGACTATTTCTCCTTATACATTTGTATCATATTTATTTGTTGTACATACCTATTGTCATTTAATTAGCATCTATTCAACCATATCCTCATCCATTTTACAAAGAAACTCATACCAGAGTCTTTGAAGGGTGGGGTGGAATTGCCAATCATACCTTTCTTTCCTGTAGTTTATTTAGGGTTGCAAGCCAGTGGCACCTAGAGACAGGTGCGATGAAGATTTCAGGGTTTATCTCCTAGGGTCTTTTCCTCTGGAATGACTCTGTGTAAATGCAAGACCTGGATTACTCTAGCAGCTTCACTAGATGCCGAAGATGAAGCCAACACACAGAGGTACCTTCCACCCTGAGATCAAACCCATGGCGGGGATCTGGCTTGTAATCTCCAATTATATAAGCTAAGAAATCTCAGTGTTTAGGATAATTTCAGTTCAGTATTTTGTTACTTCCAGCCAAATGCATGTTAATTGTTATTAAAGGATGGTATGTGTTAATTTAATCTTCCAAATATCTACATTTGACAGACATCACTGTTATTATCAT